GACAAAGCCTTGCAGCACATCATAGATTACCAGAGAAAAATGGTGCGATATTACAACAAGAAGGTCAAACATAGGAGTTTCCAAGTGGGAGACCTAGTCCTCAAAAAGCTCCTTCCAACTGGAAAGGACCCCTCTCATTGAAAACAAGGCCCAACTAGAAAGGTCCATACATTGTGTCCAGAATAGTCAGACCAAGAACTTATGAGCTACAGATTGAGGAAGGAAGAGCTTTGCCTCACTCATGGAACGCAGATCACTTGAAAAAATTCTTTTGGTAGCTAAAAATCCTACTTTTGTAAAGTTCACTGCAATAAACAAGAAGTTTCAGGTTAATCATCATTGTACAACTGAAAAACGAGCTCTTCAACTCATAATAAAAGATGAGCTCTTTAGTTCATAAAAGGAAGATGAGCTCCTTAACTCACAAAACAAACGTTGAGCTCCTTAGCTCATAAATGAAAGATGAGTTCCTTAACTCATAAATAAAAGATGAGCTTCTCAGCTCATAAATAAAAGATTAGCACCTTAGCTCATAAAACGAATGATGAGCTCTTCAGCTCATAACTAAAGATGAGTTCCTTAACTTATAGATAAAAGATGAGCTCCTTAGTTCATAAACAAATGATGAGACATTCAACTCATAATTAAATATGAGCTCTTTAGTTCATAAATAAAAAATGAGCTCTCTAGCTCATAAATAAAAGGTGAGCTTCTTAGCTTATAACTAAGATGAGTTCCTTAACAAACCTCACACTTTGAAGATTTTGGCAAAAAAAAAAATGCTTCCAGAAGACGAAAGCTCTCCTCAAAGCAAAGGGGCAAAGGGGGAAAATAACGCAAAAATAGGCAAAAAGATAACTCTTTTCATTGAGCTTTCTTCCAAATCGATTACAAAGTAAGAAAAAACACAAAAAGCCCTAAGCATCTACAACTGGATCTATAGTTTCTTTAGCAGCTTGGGGCAGCTTAGGAGCAGCCACTTTTTCCCTTCATTCTGGAAAAATTGGAGCTGGAGGAAGTTTAGTTGAAAGAAAGGAAGCCTCAGAGGGGACATGTGCTGGAACCTCAGCCTCAGTAGAGACAGCTGAGGGAAGAATAGTCTCAAAAGCTCTCACCTCTACTGAAGCAGTCATCTCAGAAAAAGCTGGTAGAAGTGGAATAGGCCTAGAAGCCTCGACCTCAGTCTCAGCAGGAACAAGACCAGGAGCCTTGACCTCAGTTTCAGCAAGGACAACACCAAAAGCTTCAACCTCGACTTCGATAGGGGCAGCCCCAGGATCCTTCACCTTAGTCTCTTTCTTTGCAGCTAGTCCTTTTTCCTCCTCGTCCAGAGGATCGAAGTCACAGCCTGATCTAGGTACTTGTTCATGGTTTGCACTTGGAAAGCAAAGTAACCCTTGGCCTAGTTCGTGGCACACTCATCTTAAAGCGCAACTATCTCGGTGTCTCTATCGTGCACCTTGGCTCTTTCATCCTTCACCTTATTCAACAAGACAACATTAACCTTAGCCAACTCCTTATAGTCGTTCTTCACTGCCTGAACAACGTCACGAGCCTAAAAAAATGTCCTTTCACGCTTGAAAATAGGCCATCTATCTTGAGCTTGATTTTGTCATCCTTCCTCTTAACTTCGGCCTCCAGGTCCTTGTTTGCCAAGCACATACCTTGCACATGAGCCTTCAATTCCTACACCTGAGCCCTCAGATTGTCATTAGAGAAGGATAGTTTGGAGACCTTAAGCTCGAGGGCCTTTGAAAACTTTTGAGCCACCTCAATATCCCCCTCTGAGGCTTGAACCTTTTCCACCAGAACTCCCACATGGATTGCCATTTGCAAGGATAAGTGGGACCTAAAGTCAGAAATCTCAAAGTAGAGTTAGATTTAGGCTGAAAGCATACCAACCAGAAACTTACTGAGGCTACCCCAAAAAGAACAGTGGCTGCTGAAGTAGACAAAGACATCGAGGAGGCCTTTTGAATGTCTCATCCCTGATGAGTGAACCTTTGCCTTGAACAGCTCGACTGGTAGAGCTCTTAGCTTTGCCAAAAACAAGTTGAGTAGACGTCTCATCAGCTGACTTCGACGAAAGAAGACCTTACAAAGACAAAGCCAACAGTTCCAGGGCCCCAACTGCCTTTGGCAAGAGGGGAGTCTTGGCATCCTTCGCAGAAGGCTTCTTGAGCCTAGATGGAACTGAAGAGGCCCCAGCTCCAGCAGGGGACTTAGGGGTAGGTGGAGCCTTCGATGAAGGAAGGGACCTCCAAGGTGAGGGAGTTCCTTGAGGAGGAGGAACCTTTAGGAGAAAGGGAAGTCCCTGAGTGGGTTCCCTCCTCGGAGCCTTGGAGGGGTGCTCCAAGTTGGGATTAGTTTCGATTACCACCTTCCTTTTCCCTGCTGTCCACTTCTTCCTCATTGTGGCCAATCTGGCCCACACTACTTTGGCATCTGGAGCCATGGAACTTGGACCTAAGAAAAAAAAGGCGCTGGGTCAGTGAATTGATAAGAAGAAAAAACTGAATAAATGATTAAAGGAAGAGAACCTTACCATTAGAATCTCCTTCACCAAACATGGATATTGGGATGAGAGTCTCAACTCTCAATTCGTAAGGACTAAGTCTGTATTGACTGAGCACCGAAGGCTTGAGAAGCTCTGAATACCTATCAGGTCGACAATCCTCAAGTCGCAACAAGACTTTCCTATCATCTGTGTCAAGGTCGGGACAGATAACTAAAATAACAATAGAAAACAAGGTTAGCAAGCGAAACACCAAACCTAGAAAAGAATTCAGACCAAGTCACCTCAACAAAGACTTACCTAGATTGTCAGGGGCAGACCAAACCTAAGGTATAGGAAGAGTATTGGTGATATCTCTTAGGTTAAATTCCCATTCCTTCCCAGACACGAAGAAAAAGAGCTTTTTTTAGTCCTTATGGGAACTCGGGAGGTTGGTGATCAGAGATTGAGTTTTCACCCGTTTTGCAATATACAAGAAGCCATCGGAGGGGGAGAATTTAACATTGTAGGGACACCAAACTCGTTCTTCTTAAAGAAGACCAGGAGACCCACCAAAATGCCCCAAAAGTTAGGAGAAAGTTGAGCTAGACAGACGTTAAAATGTTAAAGGACAAACTTGAGAAAGGGGTGCATGGGGAATCTAAGGCCATTCTTGAAAGAGGCAACAAAGAAACAGGTTTTCTTTGGCACCACGATATCATACCTGATGTCTACCTGAGGACTCTAGTAGTGTATACCCTTGGAAAAGCCAAATCTAGCAGAAAGGACGCTCAAAAAAGGGGGGAGTAACCTCACTAAAACTCACAAGATCTGAAGCATGGGGTTCGACCTCAACATCACTTGCACTACTAGAAGTCCCAGCTCCGCCTTTTTTGGATTTCATTTTTCGAGACTTCTTAGATTTAGGAGCTTTGAGGCTTGGTTGAGACAAAGGTATCATGACCTCGGCAACCTGGGCATCAAGAGTTTTGATACTAGGAAAGTTGTCTATCTCATCACCCATATCTCCCAGGTCATCCCTTTCGAGCTCAAGAAACTTGTCATCCATAGCGAGAGAGACAACCGAAATGGTTGCTTCAGATTAGACAGACATAGTGATGCAAGAAAAAGGAAGGCCAAAGGAAGTGTACAAGAGGGGGATGTTTGAGAAGCAATCTTCAAGAGCCCTTGGGTTAAGACTCCAACAACCAAAGAGGAAGACCCTAGCAGTAGCGTAAGGATCTAAGAAGAAAGGAAAAGAAGACAAGGAGCGACCCTGAGTCTTAAAATAACAGAAACAAAAGGTCCAGAAATGGAATAACCACCTCGAATTCGAGGGATCCAGAGTGAATAGAAACCCTAGAGGGAGCAAAGAGAAAGCAAGACAAGGAACGTACCTGATCGAAGGCGATCACCAATTGATAACCCGAGGAGGATGCGAAGGATGAGAAGAAGTAGCTTCATGAAAGCTTCTAAGCAAGTCTGAGCACTAACCAACAAAATCCTAGACCACCAGGAGATTGGGGAAGAAGAAGAAATCATGAGGAAGAGGAAAAGAGAGAAATCTGAAAGAGGAATGCAAAGGGAATTTGAAATGATAAAAAAAAAAGGTGGTTTCGCCGACAAGTATATTTAAGACGGGTGTACGAATGGACATGTGGAACCAGAGGGTGAAGGACGGGTGCGAGAAATGAGACAAAAATAAATCCTTACACGTTTGTAACATCGGAGAAGTTGAGAAACGCCCCAGTGTGTACTCCCTGAGGGCAAACTAAGCTAATTATGAGACAGGACAATTGACAAACGGAGCTGATCTCGCACACTAAAGCTTTAGTCAGCCCCAACTCATGTAATCTACCTGACTGAGGACTAGGGAGCAGTTGATGATACTCAAAATATGTCTAAGGTCTACAACTGATGATACTTAAGGTCCAAAGCGCCATCCACGATAGCTGCGTAACAAACACAACCGTTATGAATGAGAGACAATGATCACGCCAAGGGATCAAGCAAAGTCCTGGAAGATTATAAATAAGAGGCATATCCCTCACAAAAGACAACAAGCAATTTAGCCTAAACTAATACTCTATGTAATCTACCTTTTTTTTATCAATAATGTCTTCCCTAGGAGCAAGAGACTCCCTTAAGAGTTGATTAACCGAAATTCAAACTGATAAACCACTATAAACTCTTTGTTTCCTGTCTCCCCAGTTCTTTAGAGCCTAAGAGCTCTGACTGTGTCATCCATTGAGTCACTCATCCCTAAAGATCTTGGCTCTACTCAATTGTGTATCACACATCATCAATTTCCATCTAGAAATTAAGATAGTATGAATTACAAGCGTACAAAAAGTGGAACAGAAAATAAAGAAAACTCAAAACTCTGATTTTCCAGCTGAAATTAACTGAAGTAACAGACTTAACGAATCACCCGCTATGCTAAAGTAACAAGCAGAACTAACAATACAATCAGATAAGTTTGAACACCAAACTGCAACACTTTAGCATGGCTGTGGTGGCACCACCACGGTCATGCCGAGACCACTACCACTACCAACCTCCCTTCCACAAAACCACCCACAAACCAACTGTCAAACGCTATCTTCGCTCAATCCTCATCCCGAAAACAAATCTTTCTCTGTCTGCACAAACCCACCTTACGAATTCTCTCTCTCTGACAAACAGTTCAACCCATCGACTCTCTCTGCCTCAAGAGATTGCCCAGCTCTGTGAATCAAAAGAAAACCTCGCCGGAGCCTTGAGTTTATTACATGAAGACTCTAAACATGTTGCTTTTGATTCAGCGCAAAAGGCCGAGGCAATGAGTGTACTACTGCAGGCCTGTGGACGGCACAAAGACATTGAAATTGGCCGACAAGTCCACCAAATGGTTTGGGGATCAACTCAATTCAGAAATGACTTTGTACTAAATACTCGTATCATTACAATGTACTCCGTGTGTGGATTTCCTTCAGATTCTCAATCCGTTTTCGATCAATTAGAAAGGAAGAACTTGTACCAATGGAATGCACTTATAAGTGGGTACACGAGAAATGAGCTTTGGTATGAAGCAATGTGTGTGTTTTTTGAGTTGATAACCATAACGGATCATAGACCGGATAATTTTACCTTTCCTTGTGTGATTAAGGCTTGTGGAGGCCTTTTGGATGTGGATTTGGGACAGGCTGTGCATGGGATGGCAGTGAAGATGGGTTTGGTTTTCGATGTATTTCTGGGTAACGCATTGACTGCAATGTATGGAAGGTGTGGGGCTGTTGACGAAGCAGAGATACTGTTTGAGCATATGCCTGAAAAGAATTTGGTTTCTTGGAATTCTATGCTTTGTGGATTTTCTGAGAATGGGTTTTCTCAAAAGTGTTTAGATTTTTTCAGGAAGATATTCGAGAGTGAAGAAATTTTTCCTGATGCTGTTACATTGGTGACCATATTGCCAGTTTGTGCGGTGGAAGGGGAAGTGAAAATGGGAAGGATGCTGCATGGATTTGTTGTGAAACTGGGGCTGATTCAGGAGTCAAAGGTGAATAACGCTTTAATGGATATGTATTCGAAATTTGGGTTCTTATTTGAAGCCCAACTGCTTTTTAGTAAGAACCAGAGCAAAACTGTGGTTACTTGGAATGCTATTATTGGGGGTTATTCTAGAGGAGGAGATGTTTGTGGAACATTTGATCTTTTGCAGAAAATGCAAATGGACAGTGAAAATATACAAGGTAATGAGGTCACTTTATTAAATGTATTGCCAGTTTGTATAGAGAAGTCGGAGCTATTGAGGGTAAAAGAACTGCATGGATATTCACTCAGACATGGTTTTCAACGTGATGAGCTGCTAGTCAATGCTTTTATTGCCGCCTATTCAAAATGTGGGTCACTGAGTTCCGCTGAGCATGTCTTTTATGGCATGGATAATAAGACAGTGAGCTCCTGGAATGCGCTCATCGGTGGCTGTGCACAGAACGGAGACTCATCAAACGCCATAGATCTGTACCTTCAAATGACATATTCTGGGTTAGATCCAGACTGGTTTACAATTGGTAGCATACTTTTGGCATGTGCCCACCTGAAATCCCAACAATGTGGGAAACAGATTCACGGGTTTGTGCTTAGAAATGGTTTAGAGACAGATGCATTTATATCTATTTCACTACTTTCACTTTACATTCAGAGTGGAAAACCATTGTCTGCTCGAGTTTTGTTTGATATGATGGAGGATAGAAGTTTAGTATCGTGGAATGCCATGATTGCTGGTTATTCGCAGAATGGACTTCCTAATGAAGCCTTAAACCTCTTTCGTCAAATGTTGTCTCATGAAATACAACCTTATGAAATTGCAATAATGAGTGTGTTAGGGGCTTGTTCACAGTTGTCAGCATTGAAACAAGGAAAAGAAACTCATTGCTTTGCTTTGAAAACTCACCTTTCTGAAGACAAATTTGTTGGTTGTTCAATCATAGATATGTATGCGAAAAGTGGCTCAATAGAACAATCTAAAAAGGTTTTTGACCAGTTGAAGGAGAAAGATGTGGCAACATGGACAGTTTTAATTGCCGGATATGGAATTCATGGATATGGAAAGCAGGCCATAGAACTATTAGAGAAAATGCAACAATTGGGCTCGAACCCTGATTCCTTCACGTTCATTGGAATTTTAATGGCATGTTGCCATGCTGGGCTGGTTGATGAGGGTCTCAAGTATTTCAACGAAATGCAGACTTTGCATGGGATAGAGCCTAAATTGGAGCATTTTGCATGTCTGGTGGATACGTTGGGTCGTGCTGGACGATTTGATGTTGCTCTAGAGCTTGTAGCTGAGATGCCTATGGAACCTGATGCTAAAATTTGGAGCTCATTACTCAGTTCCTGTAGAGTTTATAGTGAGATGGATTTGGGAAAGGAAGTTTCTGAGAAGTTGTTGGAACTGGAACCAAACAAAGCAGAGAATTATGTGCTAGTCTCAAATTTATTTGCAAACTCTGGTAAGTGGGATGATGTTAGGAAGGTGAGGGAAAGGATGAAGAAGATTGGCCTTCGCAAGGATGTTGGCTGTAGTTGGATTGAAGTTGGAGGCAAAATGTATAACTTTATTGTTGGAGATCAAATGCAACTGGAATCCGAAGACATCCGGGACATGTGGAGACAATTAGAGGAGAAGATAAGGGGAATTGGATATATACCAGATACAAGTACAGTGCTTCACCAACTGAGAGACGAGGAGAAAGTAGAGATTTTGCGAGGGCATAGTGAGAAGCTTGCGATTTCGTTTGGGTTGTTAAAGACAACTAAAGGTGTAACACTGCGGGTTTGCAAAAATCTGCGCATTTGTGGAGATTGTCACAATGCGATCAAGTTGGTGTCGAAGGTTGCTGATAGGGAGATAATCGTGAGGGACAACAAGCGCTTTCACCATTTTAGAGATGGATTCTGCTCCTGTGGGGATTACTGGTAGTTGGGTAGACTAGTTTTTTTCATGCTTGTGTCAAGGACTGAACTTCTCTGAGCATCACAAGGAAATAATGGCTGCTCTAATGATTGTTTCTCCCACCCTAATCCTTCTATTCAATTGGTATGCATGTGCTGAATGGATTCGTTTTCTCCAGTGACTCGAGTTTTTTTAGCATTTTCTTTTAAATAACACTCTGGCCTCTGAACTTCCCTCAATTCAATAGAAAATTTCACTTTGAGTCCAGCCTCTAGACAGTTGAAAGATGAAGAAAACATTCCTGATACTGTAGATTTTAGTTTCTGAATGATAAAAGGAAACTATTTAAACTCAAAGTAAAATTTAGTGGTAACACGTGGAAACAATCTAATGGTCATGAAAGAGTTTGAGAATTCATATTTGACAGGGTAGTTAAGGAAGTGGAGCTCTAAAAATCCCGAAAAGTAAGGAAACGTGGCATCATGAGCTATCAATTAGAAACGGTTTAGTGCACATCTGCATATCTCGAGGGAAGACGCAATGATTACAATTTTGGCTAGAAAAAATGGCTTCGATAGAGGGACATCTCCTATAAATAACAAAGGTAAGACTATAGAAAAGGATCCTCGACCAACACAACTACTCTATACAGAGCCAGCCTCCCTATTACTTATTTTACTTCCCAACAATCTTACTTTAGCTTGTAATCCATCACTCCTGTGATTTTTACATTTTCGTTTAATGTTAAATATAATAATTTTTTCATCTACCAACTTTAGTTTATCTACTATTTTACATTCTAATTGTCTTTCTACATTCTAGTCCATTACGTTACAAGATGGAAAATTATTTAAATCCTTGATACACAAGGCACAAAAAAGAGGCCAGAGATAATCTTACACCTCGTTATAATTACTTGAACAATTATGATATAAGAACCTCACGACTGTTTTAGGATCACAATCATAACTTCTAGTATTATCATTATCATCACTAACTCTTGCAACTCCTAACAATGTAAATACTCCACTTTTCCCACGACTTGGAAAATTAATGCAATTTTAATACTTTTTTCTTCCACCACTTGAATATTGAGCACTCACTAACACAAATTACTCACCAACTACATGCAACATTAATATTCCACTAACTCACATTAACATAATCTATATATCTATATCTATACTATTTTAAAATACCATTATATATAATTTTTTTTTCACTTTTACCCTCTAATACTACAATTATATCATCCTTATCCTTTAGAGTTAATACCATATTAAACCTAATCATCACTTCTAATTGCTTCTCAGAATCTCAGCTGGTACTATCTCTCCCTATTTTCTCTCCCCCTCTCTTTTCTTATTCTCTCTCTCTCTTTCTCTCTCAAACATGTTCTCTCTCCCCTGTGAATTCACAAACCACTCAAGAACAAACTGTCAGGCCCCTCTCTTCAGCTTCTCTCTCTCTCTCTCTCTCTACGTATTAACAAATTGGCAACGAATAGACTCCCACGTGCTCCCTCTTCAACTCCCCTCCCTCTCTCTGTGCGTATTCATTACTCGACGAAGAACAACCACCCACATGCTCCTTCTGTCCATCTTCCAGGAATTAATTTACCACATTGAAATTACTGCATTGGTTATTACCAATAATTTCACTACTAAAAATTCATCCCACTTCATATTAAGAATCGTGCCCTTCTCTATCAGATGCCCACAGATTTTCTATCTTCACATTGTGCAACTATTGGCTTGATCATGTAATGAGTTTTGAGTTATTTTTTTTAATTATTGTTAGAGTAATTTTTATTTTTACTAGTTGATGCACACGTGCGTTGTACGTGAATTATTTTGAGCATCACATATTGTTAGAACATTTCAATCTTATTACCACCCATGTTATGAGGATCTCGTGAATTATTTTGAGCATCACGTGAATTATTTTCCTTTAAGGTGTGCATTACTATGTGTGTGTTTATGTTGGTCTTGATAGGTGGGGGTTAAGTTTATGCAAAATTGAATTTAGTGACCACAAATCAACAAGAAATGCATCCATTCCATGAAAGTTGCACACCATTTTTTTTTTGTTATTATCGATATAAATTTACCTTTTTTCATAATGTTATTCTGCTTAAAGTGTTCATTATCATGATCAAGATTTCATTTATGCATATTGGTTCCTTTTCAATTTCAAGGAACATTTGGTGTTTCTATTTATTATCACTACTTCATACTTGTGTTTCTATGAGAGCTAATTGTATTGTGAAAATTAACGGTTTATCTCAATTAGCATATGTTATCTCAATTGACAAAGATTTGCATACATTGTTTATAATAAAAAAGAGCCCTTCACTTCATCTCGAAGTACATAAATTCAAAGTTTCATTGCTTCTAGTATCCATAAACTTTCTCAATAACGAAATATAATCTTAAACTACCACACACAGATACACATGCGAAAATATGTGAGTAAATTTCAAATATCAGAAGAAGAATAGGAAAATCATTGGTACATATCTTGATTATTTCAATGTAGTCTAATTATTAAGATGGTTTATCTGCTCGAGATTCTCAAGATATGAATCTCGACTTAATTTATCTTCTTTGAATGCCAAAACTTGTTGCTGATAATGATATGAAAGAATGAAAGAAATAAAGTAATAGAACTTACATTGGTAGTTGATTAACCCTAATTAATGCATAATTTAATTAAGTTAATAGGTAAATTGTGTTAGTTTAGCAAAGTTAAACTAGTTAAAATAAGTCAAATTAGGGTTAGTGTATGAATTAGAGATAATGTATTAATTGTTGTTCTTTTTAGGGTTTTGTGCGTCAAAGTTACACACTACTGGGAAGACAATTGTGGCAAAGCTACACACTACTGGAGAGACAATTGTGACAAAGCTACACACTACTGGGAGCCAATTGGGTCAAAGCTATAAACTACTGGGTGCCAATTGTCAAAACTATAAACTATAGGGTGTAAATTATCAAAGTTCAAAATAAAGGGGGATCAAAGTGTAATTCAAAGCCACCAAACAAGACTTTCATCCTCCCTTGTTGCCTATAAATACCACCCCTTAAGACTTGTAAAGCATTCATATTTGGTAGTAAAAAACCCTCCAAAAGTGTAATTTCTTTCTTGAAGTATTGCTTTCTTTTAGTGTATTATCACTTTCTTTAAGTATTGCTTTCTCTTAGTGTATTATTGCTTTCTTTTAATTTATTTCTTCTTTTACTTTAAGTATTGCTTTCTTTTATTTTCATTGTTTGAGCTTCCTTCTTCCCTTAGAGGAGTGAAACTCTTCCACTTTTCTAAGAGCTTACCAAAGCCGTGAAGGGTGGAACGTGATTCACTCATTTTTGTTAAAGATCGACTCCTTGTGTAATATGTTTTACTTTGTAATTCCTACTTGGAGGGATGAGCATCACTCACTTTTCTGGCTTTACCAAAGCCATGAAGAGTGAGTAGTTTCTCATCAAATCTTTAGTAAGAGGTGATGGATATGTATAATTATTCGAAAATTATATTTGTGCATTTCGTTTATGCTTAGCTCCAATTTTCATTTCTTCATAATGTCTTCTCATTACATTGTTGTCTTTACTTTAAGCATGAGTAGCTAAGTCTTTAAGGGAGACCTCCTCTTGGGTATGGCATTTCAACTCATCTTATTTCTTCCCCTCATTGTACGATGGTTCGGTTTGACTGGGTTGAGTGAGGACATGGTGTGAGTCTTTGTTATCCCGTAGATTTGTCACGGGTTATGCTTGGATCCTCACTTCCATCTCGTCCTTCGCTTCCCATGAATCAATCGATCATCTATGCACATTTGGAGGAAGGTTCTGAGTTGACTTGACATTCCCATTGGAGTGAACCCTTTGGATTAGCCAACACTTATTTTCCATTTAAATTTCATCACAATCACAAACCAACCTTTAACCAACAAAAGATTTTTCACTTTGTTTTTTTTTAAAAAAATCACCTTCATGATAATACACCTCCTTCCTTGAGGAGACGACCTTGGAATACAATTCCAAGTAAAACACGACAAGTAAAAGTCTCTCTGCGCTTGGGGAGCATTTTTGTTCACACACACACACATTTGACATTTCATTCATCCAGTATTTCGTTGCCCTTTCTTTTGACATCATTCCAAGGGAGAGTGACACTCCCCTTCAGACACACCATATATACATTGAGAGATAATGTCTGGAGGTTAGGATATTACAACGAAAACGATCAAGCATTTTTGGCACCGTTGCCGGGGAAGACAAAGTGTCAAAATCGAGAAGGTAATTTTTGGACAACGGATGTAAGTCCCGTAATCTTCATCATGGGCTGAGGTCCGTTGTTCCGTGTACATATTCCTATTTGTGTATAATTTTATTTGTAGATAGTTTGTTGCATGTGGGGACGAGACGAACAAAATCGATTGGTTAGACAACCCTTAGGCCCCAACATGAATATTGACCAAGACCCACCCGAGGATGCGCGTGATAATTTTGATAATGTTGGTGCCAATCCAAACATTCAAAGGGGTGGGGGAGGACAAGAACCTAGAATGCCCAATCCACGAATAGAATTTTCCCCTCCCGTGAATGAAGGGAACAAAATCCACATTGAGCCTCCGGCAAGGTCAGTGAGGGATTTCCTTCAACCCACATGAAGCACAACACCCTCATGCATCCTTCTTCAAGTCCAAGCTCATCTCTTCCTAGTTAAGCCGGAGATGTTGCAACTACTTCCCACTTTCTATGGAATTGAAAAGGAAAACCCCTATTTGCACATAAGGGATTTCGAGGAAATAGTTTCAACCTTCCTCACTAATCACGGTATGGAAGAGATAGCTAGAATGAAATTGTTCCCCTTTTCTTTTAGAGATAAGGAAAAAATGTGGCTTAATTCCTTGAGATCTCGAACCATAACATCTTGGAGCCAATTGATTTTCGAGTTTTTGAACAAATTTTTTTCGGTGCATAAAACCACCGCCCTTAAAAAAGCAAATTCAAAACTTTTCGAAGAAA